CAAGGCAGAAATATTCAACAGAGGTTGGGAAGGAAGCCTAGAGTAGAAACTGAGAAGCCCTGCCCCAGCAAGTCATTTCCTTTGGAAATATAAGTGTTAAGCAGCCTGGAGTCAGGTTAAGAAAGAGGCTTTGGGAAAATTTAGGCCAAAGTGTTAACTCAGGTTTTTCTTACCTTTGTGCATTGAGTCCGTTGGTTTTCAAAACATATCTCTTATTTCTGCCTCATTATTTATTTATTCAGTCAGTAAGAGGTGGACCCTGAAAAATGGTGAAGTAGGTTAAACTTATCTTCAAATTTTTTCCTTAATCCACTTTTGAAAACAATTTCTCTCACCCACCACACAACACCACACACACACACACACACACACAGAAAGAGAGAGAGAGAGAGAGAGACCTGGTATCTTCAAGCCGTAACCTGTCTGTTCATGGCTACCACTTGAACAATCTTCCCATATTTCCCCCATTGAACTATTCTAGAGTCCAGTCAGAATTTAAAGGAATAAGATCCTATCCCTCATAGTTTATTATAGACATGATTTTCTAATTAGCCCTAATGGGCAGTGGCTTGTTGCTAGAAATCTTCTCACCTAAGGCAGCCCAGTGGAGTGGACCAATCAGGAACCAAAGGCTTTATTATCTGTGTGACCTCGGGAAAGTTACATAGATTCTTGGGGTTGAAAGGAACTAGTCCTTTATATATATAACACATCACTGAGGTGTAATCCATCTTCTATTTCATTTTTTACTGAAAATAATTTCTACTACTTCTTTAGCACTTCCTATAGGCCAGGGCCTAGGCAAAGTATGTGGTATACTTTATCACCAGTCCTGAAAGTAACCCAGCAAGTACTAGTCGCATTTTACAAATGTAGAAAGTGAGACTTGATTGTGTCACATAATTCATCCAAGTAAGTGGCAGAGCCAGGATTCATACCTTTGGTTCCAAAGTTGGAGCTGTGTGATTGCCTAAGAGATCCCATTTTTTAACCTTATAATCGAAGCATAATTTATAATGAGCTGAATTCTGTCTTCCTCTAGCTCTGGCTTACCACCACCTCCAAGTCCCACCCCTCTGGGTATAGCAAGAAAAGCCTGCTTCCTCTTCCACATGCCACTCCTTATGATATTTGAAAACTACAAACTACTTCAACCATCCTGAAATTGTTCAACTTTTCCTCCTACAAATGTTTAAAGTCCCTAACAGTCCTGTGATTCTCCTTCACTTTGTCTATGCTATTAAAAAAAAAAAAAAAAAAAACCTGAAGCTTAAGATACATACAGAAAACTGCACCAATTATAAAGTGGTGCAATTAACTTTTACAGAATGAACACTACTTGGTCAAGAAACAGAAATATTACCAGAACTCTAGAAGTTCATGTTGCCTTTTTTATCTCTGCCTCCCCCAGAAGTAACCACTATCCTGACTTTTAACATGTGAATTATGTCAATAGAATTGCACAGTATGCACCCTTTTATATCTGGCTTCTTTTGCTCAACATAGTAAGAGTTATCCATGTCATATTGTGTTTAGCTATAAGTGGTTCATTTTCATTGCTTTCTCTATACTTTTTTAAAGACTGCTAAAATAGACATAAAGTTTATCACCTTTTTTCAAGTATACAGTTTAGTAGTATTCAGTATATTCACATTGCTCTGTTACCATCACCACCATCCATCTCCAGAATTTTTTCATCTTCCCAAAGCAAAACTCTGAACTTTAAACAATTACTCTCCATTTGCCTTTCCACTGACCCCCCACAAACCACATTTGACTTTCTGTCTCTATGAATTTGACTGTTCTAGGTATGTCATATAAATGTAATTATATAGTATTTGCTCTTTTGAAGCTGGCTTATTTTTTACTTAGCATAATGTCCTCAAGGTTCATTCATGTTGTAACACATGTGAGAATTTCCTCCCTTTGTAAGACTGAATAATATTCCATGATGTGCATATACCACATTTTGTTTGATTCTGTGTTCTTTTTTTTTTTTTTTTTTTTTTTTTTTTTAGACGGAGTTTCGCTCTTGTTACCCAGGCTGGAGTGCAATGGTACGATCTCGGCTCACCGCAACCTCCGCCTCCTGGGTTCAGGCAATTCTCCTGCCTCAGCCTCCTGAGTAGCTGGGATTACAGGCACGTGCCACCATGCCCAGCTAATTTTTGTATTTTTAGTAGAGACTGGGTTTCACCATGTTGATCAGGATGGTCTCGATCCCTTGACCTCGTGATCCACTCGCCTCGGCTTCCCAAATTGCTGGGATTACAGGCTTGAGCCACCACGCCCGGCACTTTTTCTTTCTTTCTTTCTTTTTTTTTTTTTTTTTAAGACAGAGTCTCTCTCTGTTGCCCAGGGTGGAGTGCAGTGGTGCAATCTCAGCCCACTGCAACCTCTGCCTCCAAGGTTCAAGTGATTCTCCTGCCTCAGCCTCCTGAGTAGCTAGGACTACAGGCACACAGCACCATGCCTGACTAATTTTTGTATTTTTGTAGATATAGGGTTTTAGCATGTTGGCCAGGCTGGTCTCAAAATCCTGACCTCAAGTGATCCACCCACCTCGGCCTCCCAAAGTATTAGGATTACAGGCGTGAGCCACTGCGCCCATCTGATTCTGTGTACGTTTTAAAGCATGTCGCCTAAATGGGATTCAGTGTCCCCGGGTTTGGTGTAAGCAGGCACTTTGCACAGTCACCACTGCTCTGATACACTTTAAAAATTGCTTCCAAGCCCGGCTCCCCTCTAGACAGAGTGCCCCTTATGTGTTATCCATCTTTGTTCCTCAGCACCCTGCTCCAAGTAGAAACTCAATGAACAGTATTGTTAGTAAATGAATGAAAGTGTAACAACCCTATGACTTCTCTTCATTTTACCTCTCTGAGCCTCAATTTCCTCATTCTTGATCTAAAGGGCTCGGACTATTGATTTCTCAAGTCTTGCCTACTTTAACATCTCTTATTTTGTGACAGACTTGCACTTAACAAGGCTCTTCAATGATCTATTCAAAAGGGTTTTCTAACAAAAACAACAGTAATTTTTAAAAATACATTTATGTGTTCTAGTTTATGTAACTTCATCTTATCCTCTTGATATCCCTGTGAGGTAATGTAAGAATGCAAGGCTCTGCACAAGAGAAGCCTGCACAAGAATATAGGACACAGACTTCCAAAGTAGTTCACTAAGGTATTCTCTGTTAGGAGGACGTTTGCCAACCGAATTTCTCTCATTCCACATCTGCAATGAGGCAGGGTGAATTGGCAGGCTTCCCCAATCTGTAGGGAAGCTGCAATTCCCAATCCGGTCACTAGATGGCTACATAACTGCATCAAGAGGGGATAGACGAGGAAAACAGCTCTGTCCCAGAACCAGAATCCACCCGGAACCAGAATTGTCCCAAAGTGGCAGTAAACCAAATTAGCCTTTTTCTGGCAGCCTTTCTAGGTATAAAATGGTTAGGAGGTGCTCAGCATTCTGAAATACACCGTGAGGGCATTACACTGAAAATGGATTTACTCTATTCCTGCGTAAGTTAAAATAATAACCGTAATATTTTTATCCTCCATCTTTTGGCTGTTTGATCTTACTCTTTACTCTCTTCCTTCTCCGTCACCCATCAGAATTCATAAGAAGAGGCACAAGGGTAATTTTTTTTTTTAGACAGAGTCTCACTTTGTCACCCAGGCTGGAGTGCAGTGATGCAATCTCAGCTCATTGCAACCTCTGCCTCCTGGGTTCAAGCTGTTCTCATGCCTCAGCCTCCCAAGTAGCTGAGATTACAGGGGCCTGCCACCACACCTGCTAATTTTTGTATTTTTAGTAGAGACGGGGTTTCACCATGTTGGTAAGGTTCCCAACGTGCTGGGATTACAGGCATGAGTACAGGCGTGAGCCACCGCGCCAGGCCTAACGGCAAATTTTTTATAGTCCCATGACTGAAACACACTGACTTAAAATGTATCAAGGGATAGTAAGTTTACAGGTTAATGAGTAGCTCTCCAGCTGGAATTTTAAAAGGAGACCAAGTTTACTGTTTTATGAAGAAAAAAACGCTCACACGTTTTAAGAACATTTGGAAACTTCTATATCAGATCAGATAAAAATCCATTCAAATAGGTATTCTTTGCTTCATAATTGCTCTAACATCAGTGTAAATGCTTCCAGATGTTTTTTCAAAGTACATAGTAGCATGTTTCTTCTTTATAAAAATAAAAACTAACACTTAAAAATAATCTTTACAGTTTTATTATAAAAAGAACTATTGATCAAACTGAGGACTGAGCTCTGATTTTTATTTTGCCCAAATTCCTGGGGGTCTAGGGACTATGCCCTACAAATCATAAATTCTCATCAGATGGGTTTTATTTGACCCTGTATATCGTGACTTACTTTTCAATCTGACTCTGGCATAACATTATGAGACAAGTAAAATATACTTAACCCCCAAATATATTTCATTGCCATATCTTGAAATTGCCCTGTAAAGTCTCTTCTGGGAAAAATCCACATTCTATAGAGAATCCCCTTCCCCTTTTGTTTTCCTTTCTTTCTTTTCAGATCCAGGAGATAATCAACTAAGAGCCAAGTACCCTTTTATGTCCAATAAGAAACATTTTACAACCTGCTTTCTCTCTGAAGTCTATCTGAGAGATTCCTCTGCATAATAAAACTTGGTCTCCACAATCCTTTACCTTACCCTGAATTCCTTTCCATTGATCCTAGGTCTTCATGTAAACTCAACCAATTGTCAACCAGAAAATGTTTAAATTTACCTATAGCCTAGAAACCCCCCCCTTTTGAGTTGTCCCACCTTTCTGAACCAAACCAATGTATTTCTTTTAAATGTATTTGATTGATGTCTCATGCCTCCCCAAAATATATAACACCAAGCTGTACCCTGACCACCTTGGGCACATGTTCTGAGCACCTCCTTAGGGCTGTGTCATGGGTCATGGTAGCTTATACTTGGCTCAGAATAAATCTCGTCAAATATTTTACAGAGTTTGACTCTTTCATCGACAATAATCTGGAGCCCAACCTGGGGCCTCAGAGAAGACTCAGGACCCTAAAGGAATTGCCCGAAACCGGAGCCAAGGTACCAGCAGGGGCCCATTGAAGCCTCACCAAGTTCAAGCTTCTTCTTCAGTGGAACTGGTAAGTCCTACTGAGCCCCAGATGTCCTGTTTTGGTTGATGGTCCTTTATTTATTCTAAGCTGTTTTTTTTTTTTTTTTCTGTCTCTCTTCTCCTAGGAAGTTGGTTAAAATCTTAATTTTAGTTTCAGAAGTGCATTCAAAAGGGTCTTTCTCCATTGCCTTTTCTCTCAAAATTAATCTCAATTGGCTTGTCTGTATGCACTTTGCACGAGGAACTGAACTGTTATTTTTCATAAATAAATGAGAGACTGAGTTCCTCAGCTCTCAAGAGAAAGGCCATTTTGCTCCTCCCAACCAAAAGGCACCTCTAGGTGACCAGGGATCTCATGGGAATGTCTGGGGGGTTGATCCCCTGTGATGTGCAGCAGCCCTGTGGGAAACTCCCCAACAAATATTAATTTGAAAAGCCTCATCCAGGAAATGTATAAGGGCTTATCACCCAGCGTTTCGAGCCCTCTCAGAGGTAATAGACCTCTGAAGAGAGAAACTGAGACATGTAAGAGTGTAGAAATGACTCAGTGGTGACACACTGTGGAGTCCTGCCCACAAGCAGCACATATCAATCCACTACACAAAAATCTTAGGCCACATGTCAGTTACCTTTAAAAAAAAAAAGAGGGAAAATAACCCTTCAAAAAAGAGGAAAGGCAAGGAAAGCAGTCCCCAATGGGCTCCCCAGCTGGGTTTATGTTTAATAATTATGGTACCTTTACTTGCAAGTATTTATACAAATTGAAAGATCTTTCTAAAGATGACCTAGGTCTAAGGTTTCCAAAATGGGGAACTTCTGATGTCTCTAAACTGGTTTTCCTGCATGCTAGATTAGAAAAACTAGGCTCCCAAATCAAAGAAAATAAATGGTAATCGTACTTTAGCTGGCACCTAGAATCATCAAAAAGAAAAAACGATAAGCTTGCCTCTCTCCAGGAAGTTAATTACAATTTTTTTCAATCTGTCTCAGAATTTAAAAAATCAGTAAAAGCCACTTCTGAAATCAGGAAGGCTCCAGAAACTGTCTCCCCTTCTGCTCCTGACTCTCTGCTCTCTGAACTTATCTGGACAGTTTCATTTTTCCTCCTCCTTTCCCTCCTCCCTTGCCTCAAGCCACAGGGGGACCAGAAATAGCTGCACAAAATAATATAGTAGTTGCTCCTTTTAGAGTAAAACCCACAGGCAGAGGGGATCATAATATAATATATACCCCTGGACCAAATCAGAGCTAAGGCCCTGGTATCTGGATTCCCCAATCCTACTGAAGATCCCTTTGGGTTTGCTAAGAATTCTAATTAATTCTTGAGACTTATGATCCATGGTTCTCTGACCTATGTCAGCTGATTCAGTTACTGGTCTCCAAAAACAAAGCTGAAGAATGGTTTAGAAGAGCATATTGGAAACAGCCTTTAGAAGATTTTGATAAATAGGTGCAAATGCAGAGAGCTTTGCAATCGCCTCTGTGAAACCATACCACAGATATTCCCCAAGGTTATAGATTGGGCAAAGGTGCAACAGTGTAAAATGTGCCCAAATGAAAACGTGCCTGTCTTTTATATCAAATTTGAAAACATATTCAAACAGTTTTCAGGAATACCTCCTGAAAACTTTGAGCACGGTAAAAGTGACACTTTACTAAATTCTGGGTTTATTCAAGGTTTAGATAAGGAGTTAGCAACCCTAATAAAGAAGAACAATGTGGCTTGGGCTTGCTTTCTCACCAGCCACCTTGTAACCCTAGCTGACCAACTGTCATAAGCAATACATTAAGAAAGAAAAGGAAGCAGTCTCTAAAATTATAAGTTTACAACCAAAACAACTTAGTAACTAAGTTGGGAGTTTACCAGGGTCCCATGGTCCCCAGGGATCTAAGCAATCCCAAGAGGAAGCAATTTGCCACTATTGCAAAAAGAAAGGACATTTTTAAAAAGAATGCAAAAAAGTTAAATGGGTGCTTGCACAAAGGGGAAGCACCAGAACAACTGAAAAATCAGAATAAGGATTCTCTGAGGGAACAGAGAGGGTTTCCCTCTACTTCTAACTAATGCCTTAGGAGAAGTAGAAATATCCAGAAATGGGGAAAATATCAAAGCCCTTGTTGACACTGACACTATGCTGTCAGTCCTCAACCCTGCCTTGATTAAAAACCCTCTCCCTTGGAGTAAAGAAAAAGTACACATGATAGGGGTTTCAAAGTCTCCTATTATAGCCTTTCAATGAAATCCCCTTCCATTTCAATTAAGAGAACTAGTGGAGGATCACATTTTTCTTATAGTAGATAGTGCCCCCCACCCCGACCCCAACACACGTGCTGGGAACAGGATTTCCTAGAAACTCATAATGCGCACATCTCATTTTCACAAAAGGGAGAAATTATTCTCAACTTGGGAGACATAGAAGACTTACAAAAGCCCACATATTATATTATGTTTGGGAAAGCTAATCAATATTCTGGAGAGGAAGAATTAGAGCCTTTCTTATCTAAGGTACCAGCTTTTCCACAGCTATTGGGAGATTTAAGTTAGCAGTCCCTATAGAAATAACCATAAATAAGTCCAAACCCCTGCCAAATGTAAGGCAATTATCTCCTTAAACCTGAAGCCTTACTAGGAATCAAATCAGTTATTCAGGACTATTTAAAAAAAGGACTCATAATACTCTGCACCAGCCCTTGAAATACACCAGTCCTCCCAGTTAGAGCCAAATGGGAAAGGCTGGAGATTTGTTCATGACCTAGGAGCTATAAATAAAATAATAATTCCTAGACACCCTGTCGTTCCTAACCCCCACACCTTACTTTCCAGTATTCCTACCACTTTTTGGTTATTGATTTATATAGTGCATTTTTCAGCATATCTGTAGAGCAAAGTAGCCAGTATCTTTTCACTTTCTCTTGGGGAAATTGCCAGTACGCATGGATAGTCTTATTCCAGGGCTACTCTGAAAGTCCTATTTACTTGTCTCAAATACTAAAGGCAGATTTAGATGACATTAAATTTCCAAATCAATCTACTCTAATTCAGTATGTGGATGATATATTGTTATGTTCATCCTCCCTGCAAAAATGCAGAGAAGATACAGTTCACCTATTACAACAGCTTGCTTTTAAGGGACACAAAGTGTCAAAAGATAGATTACAATTTTGACTCCCCCAAATTAAATATTTGGGGCATATGATTTCCCCAAGGGGTCTATTAATAAACCCTGAGAGAATCTCTGCTGTTATGACCTTTCCCCTGCCCAAAACTAAAAATCAAGAGACTTCTTATGATTAACAGGCTATTGCAGGAGTTGGGTTTCAAACTACTCCTTAATGGCTCAACCCCTATTTAAAAAACTAAAACAGACCCAGCTGGACCCAATCCACTGGAAAAAGGGGGAAAAACAACACAGAGAAGATCTAAAACAGGCTCTGACCCGAGCACTTGCTCTAGGTCACCCCAATTGCAGTCTTCCTTTTTCTCTCTTTGTACATGAAATAAAAGGAAAAACTCTAGGAGTATTAACTCAAAAACATGGTGACAGTCACAGACCAATTGGTTATTTCAGTCAATAGTTAGATCCAGTTGCAAGGGGGCACCCTCCCTGTATGAGGGCTATATCAGCTGCAGCCACATTATGCAAAAACATCAAAGAATTTGTCCTAGGGTCCCCTCTGACCATCTATGTCCCCCACTCTGTGAAATCTCTTCTAAGCTCTCACCACAGTCAACACTATTCTGTAAGCCACCTTGCCTCTTAAGAAGTACTCCTGCTTTCTGCCTTCAACATCACTTTGAAACTCTGTGACACTCTTAACCCTGCTACCCTGCTCCCCATTCTAGGTAGACAACAAAAGGAAGAGGAACGTGACTACATTCTACTACCTAATATTTTACTCTCCCCTAAGGAAGATTTATAGGAAACTCCCATTGAGAATGATGAATTAATTTGGTTCACAGATGGTTCTTTTTTTTTTTTTTTTAATTTTTTATTTGATTATAGGTTTTGGGGTACGTGAGCAGAGCATGTGAGACAGTTGCGTAGGTACACACATGGCAGTGTGCTTTGCTTTTCTTCTCCCCTTCACCCACATTTGGCATTTCTCCCCAGGCTATCCCTCCCCACCTCCCCCTCCCACTGGCCCTCCCCTTTTCCCCCCAATAGACCCCAGTGTTTAGTACTCCCCTTTCTGTGTCCATGTGTTCTCATTTTTCATCACCCACCTATGAGTGAGAATATGCGGTGTTTCATTTTCTGTTCTTGTGTCAGTTTGCTGAGGATGATGTTCTCCAGATTCATCCATGTCCCTACAAACGACACGAACTCATCATTTCTGATTGCTGCATAATATTCCATGGTGTATATGTGCCACATTTTTCCAATCCAGTCTATTATCAATGGGCATTTGGGTTGATTCCAGGTCTTTGCTATTGTAAATAGTGCTGCAATGAACATTCGTGTACATGTGTCCTTATAGTAGAACGATTTATAGTCTTTTGGATATATACCCAGTAATGGGATTGCTGGGTCAAATGGAATTTCTATTTCTAAGGCCTTGAGGAATCGCCACACTGTCTTCCACAATGGTTGAACTAATTTACACTCCCACCAACAGTGTAAAAGTGTTCCTTTTTCTCCACATCCTCTCCAGCATCTGTTGTCTCCAGATTTTTTAATGATCGCCATTCTAACTGGCGTGAGATGGTATCTCAATGTGGTTTTGATTTGCATCTCTCTGATGACCAGTGATGATGAGCATTTTCAGATGGTTCTTTTTTAAGGGACAACCAAGGGAATTACCAGGCAGGATATGCCATCACTTCCATAACAGACATAATTGAAAGTGCCCAACTCCAAGGAGTCGAATTTGCCCAGATGGCTGAATTAATAGCATGAACTAGAGCTTTTAAATTAGCTAAAGGAAAAGTGGCAAATATATACCAAGAGCCAATATGCTTTTGGAATAGCCCATGATTTTGGCATGCTATGGAAACAGAGGATTTCTTACCTCATCCAGACAGCCCATATGAAATGGGCACCAAGTCACAGAGTTACTAGAAGCAATTCAGATGTCAAAGCACTTGCAATCACAAAAATTCCTGGGCACACAAAGGATAACACTGAAGAAGCAAAAGGAAATAATCTAGCTGATGCTGCAGCAAAGAATACTGCCCTAGGAAAGATGGCCTATCCTGTACGGGAATGTAACTTTAGTCTTACAAATACCCTCACTAACATTCTTTTACAATATCAACAAGCATCTACCCCTCAAGAGAAACAACCTGGCAGCAGAAGGGAGGCATGATTGACCCAAGTAAGGAATTATGGCTAGGACCTAACAAAAAACCCATAGTTCCCATAGGTGTCCAATTGCCTTTCCTTCAGTTTATTCATGAAATGACTCATTGGGCCCCTAAACAAATGGTATCGTGGGTAAAACAATACTTTTGGAAACCATCACCTACGGTAGCCCAAAAGGTATATTCTCAATGTACTATATGCCCAAAACAGAACCCTGGCAAGCCCTTATGTGGCTCCCAAGGTCATTTTCCTTTGCCAATAGGACCTTTTGGTGTGGCAGTTGGGATTATAGACATGAGTCACCGAGTCACACTCCTCTTTTCAAACCTGAAAATTTCTCCTCATCCCCTGCAAACCTCAGCCTCCTGGGTTCAAGCAATTCTTCTGCCTTAGCCTCCTGAGTAGCTGGGATTACAGGCATTCGCCACCACACCTGGCTAATTTTATATTTTTAGTAGAGATGGGGTTTCTCTATGTTAGTCAGGGTGGTCTCGAACTCCTGATCTCAGATAATCTGCCCACCTCAGCCTCCTAAAGTGCTGGGATTACAGACATGAGCCAATGTACCCAGCCACACTTCTCTTTTCAAACCTGAACATTTCTTCTCGTCCCTTGCAAACCTCAGCAATCTTTCTGCAGGTGGAGTCCACATCATTTGGTATGATATAGGGAGGAAATGAAGACTATTATATGGAACAGCACCATTCTAAACATTCCCCAAGGTCTCCGCTTTTTAGGGTACCTCTGTTATAGGGCTACAACCCAGTATGACGCTCTGCAGGAATACTTGCCTAACAGTGCCTCAGGGCAATCACTGAGGGCCGGGGGATGATCAGTTGAGACAAGTGCCCAGTTACAATGTCTCCTGTATATACTGCCATAGCATGGCCTGCCCAAATAACCACCAGCCCTGTGCTTGTGGCTGGATGCTCCTATGCAGCACCAACCATACTGACACTGCCCTGAAAGAACTGTTTATGGGAGTCAATTGGTAGGCAGAGGTCTCTGACAGCACAGATTCCACCCTAAGACCAGGGCACCTCTGGGAAGCATTATGGAATACCTAGACAAGGGTAACCTCCACTCATCTAACAATTGTTTGGGATACCCAGCGGTTCTGCATTGACTCCATTTATCCAAATTGTACAAATGCCATTGATATCCAATGGCAACAGCATTCCTAGTGGATTCACCAAAATTGGCCACCCACAAAACTAAAGTGTGACCTCACTGGAGGAGTCAGAGCTGGGCAAGGCATACTGGAGCAAGCTGAGTTTATGGCTAAAGAAGAGATACCTTCTTTAGAGAAAATATTCCCTATCAAAAATAGGCCACATAGAAGGAATGCCATTCTGAGAAGAGGGAAAAGGATGGAAAATGCTTTAAAAGATAATGTAGCATTCATTAAATGGATAGAAGAAACCGGACAAACCATGAAAACATATTCCCAAACCCAAAGATGAGAACAAGACCTGATAGCAGCTCATGTCTATTTTATTACAAACGGAATCTGAGGTGGCTATGAAGCAGTGGGCTACAATCCTCAGTGCGGAGGCACAATCCAAACACTTGTGAAAAGTATGTGGTCCTCTAAACTTATGGAGATTTTTGGATGGTAAATGTGACCTTAAACCTTGTATTCACAGAGCACAGGCATTGAAGTTAAATGAGGCTCAAAGATACTACCCCTGGGAAATAGTTGGGCTATTTTAGCTGATAATAACCCGTGGTATCCCGTCTCCCTTTCAGGTTACGAAAACAGAAAAGGAGAATGGCTATGCGCTCAAACCACTTGGAACCCTGATTTTTCCCCAACTTGTCCTCTAATATTCACCCCCATCACCCCCATGGGACACAGCATCTGGTATGTGGGGAACGGCCGTTTCTGTTGGGAACAACACTATAGAATTATATGACTTCTCCTGTAACAAAACCTCCTTTTCTCTCCCAAATACCAGTATATGGTGCAATACAAAAGTGGTGGGAAAAATAGATTTGTCCACTGTTAGTAAGTCCTATAACTATTTAGACATTGAGGACCAGGCATTCCTTGCATTTGACTTATACCCTCCTCAGGATGTTATACCAGTGGAGAGAAATTGGCCAGAAGAGAGACTAAATTTATTAGAATCTGATTTAGTGTCTGTCCTATAATCCTTAAATTAGATTTATCATAAGTTTCAGATGACCCTTGATATGGAAGGTAAACACATTGTGAGTCTGACCAAATATGATGATGCATGCAGTGTTTTGTTTTGTTTTGGCTGGTTAGGTTGTTTACTGCCCTCTGACTACCTATAACCTTCTTGGACACCTGATCTTTGCTGTCTTTGTGGCATTTGTCACTGTGTTAGCATTATATATCTCTTGTAAATGTTATGCCAGCTACAGCAAAATGAGGAAGGCACAATTAAAGACCCTGATCATGATAGCTCACAAAATAGACATGATCCAGGATTTTTTTTTATACTAAACTCTAGGCGTGACTCTATCTCACCCCTTAAACTATTGGCTATTACATCAGGTCAGACCATGTCCTCCCCATTATCCAAATCGCAAATATTTAAAACTATTATCACCAACCAGACTACTCTAGGAATGAGCATTCCTAGCATCGTGGGACCTGTTTCTGTTTGTTGGCCTGCATATGCATTTTGTGGAATCCTTTTTGGCCAAGAAGGGGGACTGAGGACTAAGCTCTGTTTTTTTGGTTTTTGGGGGTTTTTTTGTCCAAATTTCTACCTAAGGGACCTAGGGAGTCATACCCTACAAACTGTAAATTCTCATCAGATGGGTTTTATTTGACCCCATATATCACGACTTACTTTTCAGTCTGACTCTAGCATAACATTATGAGACAAGGAAAAAATATTTAACCCCCAAATACATTTCCTTGCTATACTTTGAAATTGCCCTGCAAAGTCTCTTATGGGAAAAATCCACATTCTGTAGAGAATCTCCTTGCCCCTTTGTTTTCTTTCCTTCTTTCCAGATCCAGGAGTTAATCAACTAAGAGCCAGATACCTTTTTAGGTTCGATAAGAAACATTTTACAAGGCCAGGCACTTTGGGAGGCTGAGGTGGGCGGATCACCTGAGGTCAGGAGTTTGAGACCAGACTGAGCAACATGGTGAAACCTAGTGGCTACTAAAAATACAAAAATTAGCTGGGCATGGTGGTGAGGGCCTGTAATCCCAGCTACTTGGGAGGCTGAGACAGGAGAATTGCTAGAACCCAAGAGGCGGAGGTTGCAGTGAGCTGAGATTGTGCTCCTGCCCAACCAGCCTGGGAGACAGAGCAAGACTCCATCTTGGGGAAAAAAAAAAAAAAAAAAAAAGAAACATTTTACAACCTGTTTTCTCTCTAAAGTCTGATATCTGAGGTATTCCTCTGCATAATAAAACTTGGTCTCCAAAATCCTTTCTTAACCTGAACGTTCCTTTCCATTGATCCTAGGTCTTCAGATAAACTTAACCAATTGTCAACCAGAAAATGTTTACATTTACCTATAGCCTAGAAACCCCTGCTTTGAGTTGAGTTGTCCCACCCTTCTGAACCAAACCAATGTATTTCTTAAATGTATCTGGGTTGTTTGTTTGTTTGTTTGTTTGTTTGTTTGTTTGAGATGAAGTCTCCCTGGGTGGCCCAGGCTGGAGTGCAGTGGCACCATCTCAACTCATGGCAACCTCCGCCTCCCAGGTTCAAGTGATTCTCCTGCCTCAGTCTCCAGAATAGCTGGGATTACAGGTGCGCACCACCATGCCCAGCTAATTTTTGTTTTTTAGTACAGATGGGGTTTCACCGTGTTGGTCAGGCTGGTCTCAAACTCCTGACCTCAAGTGATCTGCCCGCCTCGGCTTCCCAAAGTGCTGGGATTACAGGTGTGATCCACTGCACCCAGCCCTTAAATGTATGTATTTGATTGATGTCTCGTGCCTCCCTAAAATATATAAAACAAAGCTGTACCGCAACCACCTTGGGCACATGTTCCCAGGACTTACTGAGGGCTACGTCATGGGCCATAGTCACTTATATTTGGCTCAGAATAGATTTCTTCAAATATTTTACAGAGTTTGACTCTTTTAATCAACAAAACCATGATACCTAACTACTAATCTCACTCCACATCTTCTTCTCTTACTTTAAATATTCATGGCCTTTGGTAAAGTTCTGTTCAATTATTTCTTTTTGTCTTTTAAAAATAATTATATTTATTTAGACCTCCTTCTAAATCCTTAAGCATTATTGGTATTTCTGCTACAAAGGTATTCTCACCAATTCCTACCAACTTACTCTCATTCTTTGAAATTGCACATTTGATGACTGAACCTAGGTTATATTTTTTAGGTTGATTTATCACTTTTGAAACATGTTACTTTGTTTTATTATCATTGCTTCTCTTGTTTTGGGCCCCACTAACTTTAGGTGGGATTAGCACACTTTACCATTTATCATTCTCTGGTCTTCTTGGAAGTTCTGTGACACTCCAGTTTTGTTCATTCTTTAGCATTTTAAATGCCTGGATGGAAAAAAACAGAAAAGTAAAATATAAATAAATAAGTAGCTATTTTGGCAACCTCAGAGAACAATTTCAGCTACATGTTATTAGTGTTATATATGAATAAAATGAAATAATGAATGTGAAGGCACTTTGAAAGTTACAAAAATATGCCATGCAAAAGTAAATGAATGTAATATTTGGCTAGATTTGAAGTGGAAATCAAGAACTACTAAAATAATGGCTTGTTAAGATTTACCAGATTCTTGGGGTTAAATATCTGTGGGGAGAGCATGGAGGCACATCACTAACATCATTTCTTAAACTACTTGAATACTCTTTACATTATTTACTTATTAGTGTTCTGGCTACTATTTTGACTTAACACATCTTAGTAACAGAGCAGTGGAAGAATGCATTTTTAAAGTAACCCAGAGATTACAGTGAATATCAGGGACATAAATCAGCACAAAGTCTTAAAAGTGACTGGTTTGACAAGACGGAGCCAGTGTAATGTGGCTTTTCTATTAGCTTGGCTATAAAGTTGGCCATTAACTTAGCACTTAATTGGATCCTTCTGCAGTGGAACCATAAGAGCATTCAGTCCTGCAGGCTAAAGAACATGGTGTACCTGCTGAATAGTGTTTAAGCTACTTTAAAAGTCTAGATATAATTGAATAATGACTAAACACAACTCTATTATATCAGACTTTTAGAGGTGGTAGGTATAGTGTCTACCTACATACAAAATTGTGTCTGAACATTTGAGCCTGAATCCATTTACAAAATGTGTGACTTTAATCATATATTTTAGCCTTTATGAGACTGTTTCTTCATCTGTATACTAAAAGCAACAGCATCTGTCCTTCTTACTTCAAAGAATTATAAGAAGTCAGATCATACATAGAAAAGAGACATAAACACCACACAAACATTAATTATAATTTTTTTTTAATTAAAGACGGGGTTTCACCATGTTGGTTAGGCTGTTCTTGAACTCCCGACCTCAGGTGATCCACCCGCCTTGACCTTCAAAGTGCTTGGATTACAGGCATGAGCCACCACACCCTGCCACATTAATTATAATTACCAAATGTAGCTATCATATCTTACAAATGAGGAAACTGAGGCCCAGAAAAGCTGAATGATTGGTTAAGGACCTATTGTGGCTGAGTTAGATCTAGAACACAGATTTTCGAGGCCTCTTTTCTTCTCAATATATCAATCAGTACTGGTTTTGACATTTTATATATACTAAGGTCTCCATCCATGACTCATTTACATACTATTTATTACTCAGCCATAAAAAGTCATTAAAACTTAACTTTAAATTTGTTGGAAGCTAGATTTAATTACCATGTATGTGTAGATGCATTACTGAACTTTCAGCTATAGCTAGGCTAGTCCCAGAAGGAAAAAGGTTTTTGTTTTTATTTTACATGTCAGTGCTTGGTTAAAATGTCTGTTTTTATAAAAGAGTCACATGAGATACTCTAAACCCTAAATCTAATTACTGGGAAGAATCTAAAAAACAAATCCAAACCTTGTAAGAAAGCCAAACCTTCATTGTACTTTCCAGTCTTCCTAAAATAACATTTTTTTTCTTCATCCTAGCATATATTTTAAACCTTTAATTTTACTATTCACATAAAAAAGACCAGGTATAGCCTGAAAGATAATTTATTCTAATATTATTTTTGTCTTAATAAATTTATCAGTAGTATGTGAAAATATTATTATATCTAACGATGCTTTGGTTTTAAATGAAGCTATTTTGAGTTTGTCCTTATAATTTGTGATAGATTAGGAAGGTCTAAAGTTTGCCTCTAACTCTGAGGTCCTGTGAACTAGAATTCAGAATTATAGGAGGAAACTAGATCAATATTTATTTTTCCAGCTACAGTTGCATGGAGATTTGAGGCTAGTTTCTTTTTCACAGAAAAAAGAAATACACAAGGACATGTTCATCCTTAAGGACTTATTAAGGAATGTTTTCAAAGCTTTGTGAGGCAGGGTGCAATGGCTCACACCGTTAATCCCAGCAGTTTGGGAGGCTGAGGTGGGCAGATCACCTGAGGTCAGGAGTTCAAGACCAGCCTGGGCAACATGGTGAAACCCTGTCTTTGCTAAAAATACAAAAATTAGCTGGGAGTGGTGGTGTGCACCTGTAATCCCAGCTACTCGGGAGCTGAGGCAGGAAAATCGCTTGGACCCGGGAAGTAGAGTTGCAGTGAGCTGAGATCACGCCATTGCACTCTATCCTGGGCGAAAGAGCAGGACTCCAGCTCAAAAAAAAAAAAAAAAAAAAAAAAGTTTGTGAATGTGTGGTAATTTAATTTTACAGTGTTCTACCATGGAGAACATGTG